CCCGCTGACTCAGGAGTCAAATGTCGCCCATGCCTAGGGTGACGCAAAGGAGACGAATTGTTGAATAAAGTCGGGGTTTTTTTCTTTTGCACACAAAAAGTATTCTCGTAGCTTCTTAAAATCACGGTTGAACCCCTGTTTGGAACAACATGAGAGTGAGTAATTATTAATGACAGAATTTTCATTTTTGGGTGAACTATCCCTTTAAACAATACATGATATTCAGCAGGCTTGTTTATCTCCTATAAAGACAAGACACTATAGGTAAAACTTTTTTTTCAGGCACTGGTCTTCCATAACATGTTTTTTTTTTCAGACTAGTAGAAAGAAAGCCTCCAAAATACCCATTTAGGTGTTTATTTTATTATACTTTGTCTATTTGTGTCTGTAGATTTCAGTTATAATACATATCTTTAAAGGCCGTTTCTCAAGAACTCAGAAGTCAGAAATCTCCATTTCAGTATCACTTACACCAAACTTTACCTTTATTTGTTCAATCCTCTTCTTTAATGCTTCACAACGACATTTACTCAACTACCTCTAAATGTCTGTTTGTTCGTTACAGAAGGATCATGTCCCTGCGCTGCTGGCCATGGCCACTGCCTACATGATCCTGAAGCAAACCCCTCGAGCCCGAAACCAGCTCAAACGCATCGCCAAGATGAACTGGAACATCATAGATGCGGACGAGTTTGAAAAGAGCTGGCTGCTTCTGGCCGACATCTACATCCAGTCGGGAAAATACGACATGGCAGGAGAGCTGCTGAAGAGATGCCTACGACACAACAAGGTGACACTGAATTCATTCAGCTGCAATATATATCACAATTTCTGTTGGGAATTCAGCTGAAAAATAGTAAGAGATAAGTATATTTAAAGGTAGGGTAGGTGATTTCTGAGAGGCTAGCAATAGCAAGCTTTGAAAACATAAGATCCCACCCTCCCTGCAAATCACTCTCCAAAGCCACGCCTCCTCCAAAACACATGAACAGTTAACAAAGCAAAAATGAAGCATGTAGTCAGAGATGGTTTGATTGAATGGAGGCGGTGACTAATTTAAATATTCATGAAACTGTGTATACTAAATGAGGTAAGGGTGCAGAGTTATATTCAAGGCATGAAGAAATTATTTTCATGAGACAAATGTTTAAATATGCCATTTTGATTATAAAAATGAGATTTAAGAGTTAAAATGAGTGACTACTGGGGAAAATGTCTCTTTTTAGATGATCCAGTTAATTAAATCTTCAGCACTTTTGATTTTCTCTTTTTATTTGTAACTTGATGAACAAACCAAAAGTGTGCTGTAACCCTAAAACAACAACTTGCTTGCAAACCTTTTGAAATCTCCAAAATATTAAAAACGGTTACAGAATGACGTCTTAACGTGTTTTATATCAGTCCTGCTGCAAGGCGTACGAGTACATGGGCTACATTATGGAGAAGGAGCAGTCGTTCAGAGATGCTGCCATGAATTATGAAATGGCCTGGAAGTACAGCAATCAAACCAACCCCACTATCGGTAAGATTAAAGCCCCTCAGACGCTCTGTACTGTTCTCATGTGTGTGTGTGTTCACATCTCTTATTGACATCAGCATGATGTTTGTTTACCAGGCTACAAGCTTGCGTTCAATTACCTGAAGGCCAAGAGACACGTGGATGCTATAGATGTGTGCCATAAAGTGAGTATGCAAGAAATCCTGCTGCGAATATATAAACGTCTAAATTAGTAAATACTGTACTGAGACCAACAGTCAGATTCCAGAAGCAAAATCCCATACATTTTTTCCATAGAAAAATACGTTTTTACAAATAATGTTTAACCCTTTCTAGACAGACCATACCATACCTTAAACTATTCAGTGATAATAAGTTTAATCGCCTATTCTCTGCAATCTCAACCAATTCTGAAATATTTATATATTTGGCAATAAATGTAAAATATATTTCATATTTAAAATCAATTGTATAGTCAGTAGTTTTATATTTGTATCATCTTTATTTGAATTGTTATAATATAATTTGTATCTAATTTATTATATTATATTTAAAACTTTACTAAAAATATGTCTAAAATAAAAATATATTAAATGCAATTAAAAATGATCCTGTTGCATCTTTTTTTCTTTCTTGCGTCTCATACCCTCATACCCTCAGGTTTTGGATGCACACCCCAACTATCCACGCATCAGGAAGGACATCTTGGACAAAGCAAGAGCAGCTTTAAGATCATGACAGAAGGACTGGTGTGTTGTGTGCTGTTGCTCAATTGTGATCTCATCTGTAATTTCATATAAATTGCGTTTGTAAGTGTCAGTATATGAAATATTTTGATATGACTACATGCAGTGTTCATTAAAAACAAGCATTAATAATGGTGCAATATTTTTCCTTATGTACACAGATATAAATAAACATTTGAAAACACTAATGTCAGGCTACAGATTCCACATTATAAAACTGATAGTTCCGGTCCTTGATTCTGATTGGTTGAGGCAAGTTCTAAGCTGTTGTAAATTACTCTACAAACATACACCTTTGTTTATGTCTGTGTGTTGCTCAGCAACCACTTTGTTGGAACCACAACCGTTTCTGAGGAACTACATTGTTTAGCGGAAGAATAATGTTTTTATTAATATCATTACACTTTATTTGCTCTGTTTTATTTTGTGAAACCTTACTACATATATGGAATAACCGTTTTATAAAAGCAATAAGCCACTTTGCGTCGTGCCTAACAACGCCCCTTAGCTGTTATAAATTCACTGTAAACCACGGCTTCTTGGGGCTTATTGCTTTAATATATACGCACATTTTCTGTATGCAGCAAAGTACGCTGCACAGAATACTGAATCCCACAATGCAATGTGCTTGACCTTGCATTCCCAATGTGTCTCTTTTTGCCTCTTTAGTTGACCTGGTTGGCAAACATCAGAACATTTTTACCTAAAATTTACCCAAAACTGCAACTTTTTATTTCCAAGATGATAACAGTGAGGTCATGTGAGAAGAATGTAGCATACTACTGTTTGGCTGCATTCTGGGTGGAATACTGGCAAACTGCTTACTTCATACTGCATACTGTACATGCTATATAATGTCTACTCTTTTTTTTTTGTTTTAAACAATGCAGTATACAATATGTATGGCTTTGTTTAGAGTTCATCAAATGCAATTGTAAGGCAGTATTTATTTCTCTTCAAGTTTTCTGGCATCAAGAGCACAAAATGGATTTAGTCCCGAATATGTGTTGTATGTGCCATTTGAACTCAGGGCATTTTTATTTTTCCATTACAGACAAACAACTCTTTAACCATCTAATGCTAGTGTCCACTACAGTCTTTTTAACCATTGATGGTGTGATGTTGCATCCAATCCATATATATATATATGTGTGTGTGTGTGTGTGTGTGTGT